TTAGGTTTGTTTTGTTTCACCATTGACAAGATTAACTACTTGGAAGCTCAGGAACCACAAATATAAACCGTTTACAGCTAAGTGACATTGAAATTTCAAAGAAATAGTCAAATATTCAAAACCGGAGACATCAATTTAATGGTAAAAATTTGTCTTGCTCTTATCTGTCTTAACCACTTCGACACTATTTTTACGACCCTACTTGATAGTCTCAAAAATGTAGCAACCATTACTTGTATTGGTAAGATCACTTTTACTCGTCACAGGAATTAGCAACTTTAAAACTGCTTCCTTTGCATTTACGTGCACAATAATTTGACTTATTTTCCGTTAGTTTCTTAATTGCACACTGCAATTATATTAAAAAAACGCCTAGTATTTCTTTAATACCACTTATCAACTATATTTTTAGTTTAGTAATATATAACCAATAAATTGTTGCAGTTTTTTGGCTGAATATAGTATGGAAAAATTGAAAAAAAAAAAAGCAAATTTTTGTTGTACTCAAGTCGATAACATAAGACGAGTGTTTAGAAATATTTTTAAACGGAAGGTACCTTGAGGTTAGTAGTTGAAATGGATGAATGAAAAAGTTGTAAAATTTTCCTGACATATTTTCATCATTACGTTTGATGGAAAATTTTCAATCAGCTTTATTACTAGCCAACTGTAAATTAATTTTGGACGGTGAAAAAAAAAATGAAACATACATCAATGATTTAGCGGTAGGTTAAGCTGAAAACTGAAGATTGATGTTGGTTAAAACAGATAGAGCTATATAACTGTTGGTAATGATGAGTTATTGTTTCATTTTTCTGTTGATCAGTTATCACTGCTATGAAATATGAAAGATGGTGAGAAAATGTGAAAAGCGCAACACTTACAGACAAAAGTTTATTTACGGGGTCAAAAAGTAACCACAGTCAGCGGAAGTATTCTACAAATCAGCAGTAGAATTAACAATGAAACATTGTCACAATAGTTAGGCTGTCTGCAGTTTTTTACCTGTTGTCCACAACGGTATTGCACAGCAAAAAACAGTGGTACCACGTGTATCGGCCACATTATTGAGAATAGTAACCATTGATGACCGTTGGACTGTTTGATGAGGACAGGCGTAAGTGCGAAGAAGAGCCGTACACCAACAACAATGGTATTGCTAGAGAAGGATGGAAGAGAAACGGGGGCGGGAGTAAGGGGACCGAGCCGTCCGTACACCTCAGTGGCTGTAATATACGCATCCTTGGCAGGCTGCCTTTCAATATCTTTTTTCGAGGTGCCTCTGCATCGTTTAGTTTCTGCACAAAGCCCGTCATTTTAGATGAAATATTTTCTCAAATTTATTTTTTCATTTATTCTGATTTTGATATTGTTGGTGTATAGATTTTTGTTGTTGTCTCGACGCTTTTTTTTTTCTTGTTGTTGTTGTCACTCAGCCGACATGGTATCGCTAATGAAACGGTGTACTTCCTATAAATTATTTGATATGCAAAGGATTTTCACTTTTTTTTTTCTGTTTTTTTTTT